AAATAAAAAGATTAAATAACATTAAAAAAAAACCCATTGAACTAACTACAACAATCATAATAAAAAAAAGAGCCATTGAACAAACTACAATCACATCACATTACAATTACATTTTTTTCTTTGTGATTGTTTATGTTTATTTAACTTCAATCATATTAAAAATAAAATTAAAATAGTAAATAAAAAGATTAAATAACATTTAAAAAAAAATATTGAACTAACTACAACAATCATATTAAAAAAAAAAGAGTCATTGAACAAACTACAATCACATCACATTTTTTCCATAATAAAATAAATAAATGAAAAAAAAAAACTATCAAACTAACTATAATCACATTTAAAAAAAAAAGAATTATTCAACTAATTATAATCACATTTTTCTCTTTGTGAACGTTTATATTTATCTAACTTCAATCATATTACAAGATCAAATTATAATTTTTTATTCGCTAGAAAAATTACAAATATTTTTATGCGCTACCTAACTATAATATTAAAAGAGTAAACAAAAGGAAAAGTCAAGAAGGAGAAAACAAAAAGAAGACTTACTGTTTGCATACGTGGTCACTGAAGTTGAAAGTGTAGAAGTAAGAAGTCAAGAAGGAGAAAACAAAAAGGAGACTCACTGTTTGCAATAAGTATGTGAAAAGTTAAAAAAAAAATGTGTGTTGGAGAAGTTAAAAAGATTTGGAAGAATTTAATAATTGCTAAGTTTTTTTTTTCTAAAAAAAAATCAAAAAAATTAAGAAATTAAGGTTCAAATATTGAAACTCCCACAGAACTTGTAGGTTAAAGATAAATATAAATAAATAGATAGATATAGATATATATATTTATATTTGTTTTAATTGTTTTTAATATACAAATTATTTGTTTTGGAAAAGGCACTGCAGCAATTATGAGAGAAGTCAAAAAGTCTTGTGAGTTGAGAGAAGTTAATAAATGCTGAGGTTAATTTATTTTTAAAAAAACAAAAAATTAGAAAATTAAGATTAGCATATTGGAGCTCCCACAAGCTTTGGGGGTTAAAAATTCCCTTTTACTTAATATATAGTATAGAAGTATAGATGTTCAGAAAATTTAAAAAATTATACGTTCTTTATGACCATACTAGTAATAAATAATGTTTAATTTTTTAAAAATATCTTAAAATGTGTTTTAAAAACATACATTAATAAGATCCCTAATTAAATACATTGTTAAGTGAATTTGGCTGACAAAATTTATTCTAGTTTTTTGGTTTTAATTAATATTTTTTTTTCTAATTTTAACATTAGATTCTGAATTAATAATATAAATTTTGAATTTTTTAATGATTACCTCACATTTATTTTTATAAATGGATGACTTTTTCTATTTTCTAAAAAAAATATTATTTGTTTGAATTTTCAAATTTAGTTTTTAGAGATTTTTTCAACAATTTAGATATTAATTTATTACAAATAAAGATCAAAAAATATATTTTAAAATTTTTTTTCCCCAAAAAGAGAAAATCATATAAAATCAATTTTTTTCACCAAACTATTTTTTGAAAACTCAAACCAAAATCTCATCTTTTTTTTCTTTTAAATTTGTAAGCATTAAATATTAGGGCAATGATTGGTGGCCACAAAATTTTGTGGCTCAAATGGCTCGAAAATGCCAAAATGACGTCGTTTTTTGTATTTTTAGGCCATTTGAGCCATAGAATTTGTGGCCACCAAACATTTTCCTAAATATTATTTGTAATTTTAAGAATTAGAATTTGTGGCCACCAAACATTTTCCTAAATATTATTTGTAATTTTAAGAATTATCAAGGAAAAATCAGTTTAATTAAAATATTGCATAATTTATATATTCATATATATTCATTAAGCCATAAATTACTCATAAAAACTCACAATTTTTTTTTATATAAAAAGAAATTGTAGTTATGGTTAAATCAATGAAGAATAACAAAGTACACTTTAAGTATGTTAGTGATTTTTATTAGGGGAATTAATAGATCAGTGTACATTTGTAAAATATATATATAAATTAATAATAAACTTTATAAATTTTAATAATTAAAATTACATACTTTTTCATAAATTACTAATTATTTTGGGAACAAAACATGTAAATTCCCCATTTATTATTGCATTGATAATGACAATAAACCAACACAAATATATGTAAAATAAGTTTACTACTATTATAAAAGTGTGAAAAAACTGCCATATTTTTTACTTTTTAAAATTTTCAATTTTACCTTCTCAAATTTACTACATTTTCCAAAAGTCATGACGAGTTCAATATAAACCAACTACCTCTTTATTTTTGAAATTGAACACTAAAAAACGATATATCTCATTCCAATAATCCTATATAAATATAAACAAACTGTTTCCTTTCTTATAAATTTAAAAAAAAAAATCTCCCTATTTTTTAGATTGATAATGATTGAAGAACAAAAAATAATTATTCTTTCTTGTTTTTTGTGTCTGCTTCTATAATGATATACATAACATTTATAATTATCCATCATGGATCAAATCATTTATAATTATCCATCATGAATAATTTTGGTTGAATCTTAAAATTGTATATATTCGATCGAATCTAAATAGAGGAAAGCGCATGCGTTTTTAAAACAGAGATTTAGGTTGCATCTCAAAAATTTGCAAATAATTTCATACGATTTCTTTTTGTTTAAATTATATTTTACGAACTGTAATATTTTATATGATACTTTAATAACCAAGGTATGATGTCAAAATTCTAAATAATAACTACTTTCGTTGGATTTATTTTTTTAATTTATTTTTCAAATTTTGATTTTTCATATTTTCTCAATTTTGGTGATTAAACATACTGAAATTTCTTCATATTTTATATTTAAATTATACTTTTAATGAAAATCTAATATCTAATAATCTAAATAAAATTAAAAAAATAAAATATTCATAAAAAAATTTATAAATTCAAATATGTACCATTTTTTATTATTACATTTTTTGTTATTATTAATTTTTTTTCCCCAAACAATACAGAACAAATTATTTTCTAAGTGTATTTAGATTAAGTGAATCTAAAAAGAAAATAAAATGGTTATTATAAAAAAAATAGTGTCAAAGATATAAAAAAAATAAAAAAACATGAAAATAAAAAATTCAAAATAAAAGTTTGAAAAAACAAACCAAACCAAACACTATAAACTTCTTCTTTTTTAAAAATAAAAAATAAAAAAAATCTCCACTAATCTCTAATTTTACACAAATTACTCACAAATTCCTTTCAATTTTTATTAGAACTTAATAATCTAATTAAAAAATAGTGCATACACACAAAAACGTAATGCTAAATATCTACATTATGACCAACTATTTAATTATGAATAATTAATTTATCATTATTGCCTGTGTTATATTGTTGCAACATATTACTTTTGTGATATCTTATGTATGTCGATGTCTACATATATAAATAAATAAATAAATAAAATAAATGTAAATTTATATATGTTACTGTATTTATATATTGCCAATCTGTAATATTATATTACCATCGGATACTGTAATTTTCTAACATGTATCGCTTTAGTAATATATTTATATTTGTTAGGAAAAAACTACAGAATTATGTATTGTTCTCCTATCAACTTATGTTCAACGCATATATACATAAGGCTATGCAAAATACCACCTAATCCACTAAAATCGCATCGATCCGTATCAATCTACACCGTTCTATTGGCTAACCGCGGATTAAGGCTAAGTTTGGCATACCTTTAAAAAGTCAAAAAGTCACTATCCTATTTAAGTCGCATTATCTTATTTAAATCACATCACCTCTCTACCATATCACTTAAAACCCCAACCATATTTTATAAAAAGTCAAAAAGTGCACTTATTTAGAACATCCCAAACAACCCCTAAATTTTAAAGTTTATAATCTGCCTTCGAAACCACTCTGTTTTGCTATATTTAATACATATATATTTTTTAAACTTCTAATAAAATATCAAAGTAAAAATGAGTGTGAGAGGGATTTAATATGTAAAATTTGTTATAAATTAGTAGTTATATATATAAAAAAATATTATGTAAAATTAGTTTATGTTATATATATGAATTTTTTTATATAAATTAGTATTATATATTATGCAAATGCTTGATAATTGATTAGAATATCATTCAATCAGTCCAAAATTGTCTGAACTGTAATTTGTCAATTCGCCAATCCGCTATTCCACTATTTAGTTTATAATTTTACTCTCAAAACGCTCAAACCGCAATGCGCATATACATACATATAATACAAACAAGTGTCTATAACAAACATTTTTAATAACAAATCAAATCTTTGCAAAACATCTACATCACGACAATAATTATACTTTTTATATTTATTTTTTTCACGACAATTGTATACTAATGACTAATATTATATTTTTATCACACAAGATATTCGTGGCACAGAAAACGACACTTAACAACTCTTGCTGTATAAAAATATATTACCTATTGATGTTAATGCATTCTTACAGCTATAGTATGCAAAAGTGGGTTCAAATTATATTATGAGATGAATTATTAAACAAAATTGTGTAATTGTACAATTAATTTTATACCCTCAATTGTATTACATATATAGATTATAGAAAATTAAAATGAGAAGTTAATAGAAAAAGATTCGTGTAATATTATATATTTGAGAGATTTGTTTATTGTTTAAGAAAAGATTATGATCTTAACAATCTAGTTATAAATTAATGTTTATATTTATAATTTTTTTATTTATTATTTAAAATTTTCAGCTGAATATGTATTTATTTTTTATTTAATTGTGCTTTGGATGTAGATCAATTTACCAATATAAATATGTATACTTGGTACACATATCACATATAAATTTAAGAAATAAACATAATTGTAATATTAATAATTGATACAAAAATCAGTTATGCTATATGTCTCTTTTTTTTTTTTTTTTATAAATGTAGATGTCGAGGGGGGAATTAGGCGGTTTCATCGGATGAAGACTGAATGGGGTTTTGATGAATTGGTTCCTTTAGACAGTTTCACTGATGCTTCCAAAGGATATCTGCTTGATGACTGCTGTGTGTTTGGAGCAGAGGTTTTTGTTATAAAATATTATGGCAAAGGCGAATCTGTGTCAATGATGAAGGATCCTCTGAACAAGGGTTACACTTGGCAAATTAGTAAATTTTCAGCAATGGATAAGGAATTTCTTCTCACTTGGAAAATTACTAATTTTTCAGCAATTGAAAATGAAAGTTTGCTCTCTGAAGAGGTGGTTTTTGGAGAGCACAAGCGGTAATAATAATGACTGTTCGATTGTCTTTATTTATGTCTAATTCCACGACACAGTAGAACTAGTAACTAGAAACGTTGAAAAAATTCTAAGTGCACAGAATACAATCACAGAATGTTGAATAGCTGAGAAACAGTATGCAAGTTTTTTCCTTGATGTATGCATGCATGCAGGCAATTAAAGCTTTATCCCAAAGGATTGGGAACTGCAAAAGGTAAAAGCCTCTCAGTTTTTCTGCAGCTTGCTGATTGGGAAACAATTCCTTCTGAACAGAAAGTCTATGCTGAATATAAGTTTGTTATAAGGGACCAGGTCCAAGTAATCATTTCTACAAGGAAGAGGAAGGTGAAATCCATTTTCATTAGAATTGCTCAACAAACACAGAGTGTATACGAACAGATATCGATATGAATTTTGTGTTCAGTTCTCTGGGTTTCGGTTTCCATGTTTTTAGTTATAGTACACACCTCTCAAAAGGTGTGTACCATATGAATCTTATAATTAAAAAAAAAATGATATAATTTTATATTTTTTGAATTATAATTAAACAATAAAAAAAATTATAACTAAATACAACATAAAATATAATTAAAAAATTTATAAATTATAATTAAAAAAAATGTCAGAATTAGGAGATGCACTCTCTTTTAAAGAGCATGTATGTTAGAATTTCTCTGTAAAATATTTTACTTAAGAAATATATTAATAAAAAGAAGTTGGTTAAAAAAAAATAATTGAGAAAATCTAAGAAAGAAGATGATGACATCCATGCAGCCTGACTCCCACCGAAAAAAGCACTAAAAATTACAATTTAAATAACCCCCCCAATTTCACTTCTCCCCCACCCACCCGCACTGCATAACATCATCCTCATCTCTCTCTCTCTCTCTCTCTCGCTCTCTCTAACAGAAAAACCCTAGACCCTCCCCGGACCCATTTTCCGGCGAAAACTAGCTACCAAACCCTAAATTCTCCCCCTCATTCCGACCCCAAAGCCCGCCGATCCGATCCAATTCCTTCCCCGGCGGCTTCTCCGCCGGAAAACTCCGATTCCTGTAGACAAACACTACAAATTATACAAATAAACATACATATTTCTTAATATATATATATATAGAGAGAGAGGGAGAGAGAGAGATGTACAAGAACCAGCTTCAAGAGCTGGCGCAGCGGAGCTGCTTCAACCTACCCTCGTACAGCTGCATACGGGAAGGTCCAGACCACGCGCCTCGGTTCAAAGCCAGCGTCAACTTCAATGGGGAGACCTTCGAGAGCCCCAATTACTGCTCCACCCTCCGCCAGGCCGAGCACGCCGCCGCCGAGGTCGCCCTCAACTCTCTTTCCCACCGTGGCCCCTCTCACTCCCTCGCCGCCCGAATCCTCGTAAGTACCAACAACAACATTGATTGGATTTTCGATCTTCTTTTTCTGTAAGTTTTATTGGAAATCACAAATTTGACTGGTTTTTGGTCTGGTTTTACTCTTGGATTTTCCGGCGAATGTGATCGCCGGTGAAGGAAAATGCGCTGTAGTGTGGGCACCGGTTCGCTACTGAACCGGAGTTGATCGCCGGTTTAGGGATGAGGTTGGTTGAACCCGTGGGTTTCGTTGGGTTTGAAATGACTAGAATGCCCCTGATCTTTTCTTTTTCTCGCAAACTCGAAAGTTTCTGAGAGAGGGGCTCTGAGTCAAGAGAAACCGAGGGTTGTGGGACTTTGGAAAGGCTTTGGGCATAAGCCCTGAGGTCCCAGGTTCCACACTCGCCAAGGCCAAATGCCAGGGGTTTAGTGCAGTAGTCCTAGACGGCTCTCTAAGTGTTGGACGGCCCGTATGCGGGGCTTGGTGTGGGATTGAATCGTGACAGCTGCACTCTCTCACTAAAATGGTGTGTGCGTGGAGTTGGTGCACGTACCCGAGGTTTGCCCTCATCCTACTCCTATTAACCGACATTAGATAGTTGCTTCCGAACTCTTCAACCAAAAAAGAGTAAGAGACCGAACTAGTATTTGTCTTTATTAATTGTCTCTGTATAACAGTTGTGTTTTTTGGGGTCAATTGTCAGACACTTCATCACAATTAATTCATTAAATGAGCGTGTAGTATTTCAGTCATATAATAAATACTCTGAATTTTGGTTTATCCTGTTTGGTATGGGTTTTCATTTTTTTTTTCATTTTATATTTTTGGTTTTCAAGTTTGAAAATTCCCTCTGTTTTAATATATAGTTTTTATTTTTGTGCGAAAATAGTTTTCCACCTAAAAAAATAGATTGTTTCCAGGAAATTTACTGAAAACAGTTTCCAAACACATTTGTATTAGTGTTTTCGGAAACCATACGGAACACTTGGTCATGGTAGCTAAGACCCTTGTTCCTATACAAGAAATTAATCAACCAAACAAAAAAATGATTAATGGTATTCAATTTTAGGTGAGACCTTTTAAACTATTATATGAAGGTAAATATAATGTCAAGTCAACTTATGTATTGTTCTTGTATTTTGGTAAGTTGTGTCAAGTCAACTCATGTATTGTTCTTGTATTTTGTTAAGTGGTGATTTACATTAATATGTACTGAACCCATATGATAAAGACTGCTGATTAAAATTGCTGACTCTCGTTGTTTCTTTACTCACAAAATAGAGTGGGCTGGGATAAATATGAATATGTTGAAATGTTGGGTATTGCTACTTTAATAATTAAATAAACTATAGTATTGATTTCAGTATGGACAAATTCAAATATGGCACATGGGTTACAATTTATGGTCTTGTCTCCCTCAATTGATTAAGCTTAAATGTCTAGCCGCAACATGCACGTGAGATACCACTTAATGGATTATCCGATGATGTGATTGATGTCATTAGATATGTTACATAGACTCGGATACGAGTATTGGGTGCAGGTGTGTATCCAAACGTCAGACTTTCATAAATATAAATTTTAGGATTTAGGGATACATATCCAAAATTGGATATAGCTATGGGGATGTTTCATATATACATATACATGTATATTGCATATTATAAAATATTCTCAGTTGAGATATTGTAAATTATGTACAAATATATTAGAAACTAAATAGGATTCAGGAAAATTTGAAATTTATATATCTAATTAGACACTAAAAGTATTGTTTTACTAGTAAATGTGAGTTTCTTCTTTATATTCTCAGAAATTAAAGGATCTAAGTGTCTAAATTGGGTACGAGTGTCATACACATATCCCACACCCTTTCCCATGTCATATCTGGTGGACACGGGTATTTGGGGGAAGTAGAAGAGTCCGTGTAACACCTTTTGTTTGCTGATTGGAACTCCATAATATGATCCTGTTTGACCATTTATATTTGCATCCTTTGAAGTGAAAACTGGTTTGAGTTTGATAACAATCTCAAGTGGACATTAGTTTGACATTGCTGAAATGTATACAGTTTAAATATGCAATGCTTAAATACACAAATCTTACATAGTACCTATGAACAAGGAAATTTTTTGCATGTTTTCTATAAATTAGACTAAAATATTTAAGCTTTGCATCCATGCAGTATACTGTTCCAATCTGGAATATGCATTTCTTTTTTGAATTTTGTACGAATTGCTTATGTTGTTCTCATTATTTGAGTTAATCAAACAATCCTGACTTACAATGCTTTTGAGAGAAGAATGAAATCGTGGTTGCTCATTATTCTGTGTTTAAAATTTATTTATTTTCTAACACAATGGAGATGCAGGATAATATTGTTGATTTCTAAACTCGTCTGTCCAAATAATTAGATTGGTCATATTCCAAAATTGTAATAACCATAGCCTACAGCCCTGATGCCCTGAAAAAGAAGAAAAAAGGAATTTATTATATACCTCCTTTTGACATTGTGAATCTGTAGATTGACCAGCATAGGTTCGCTTTTAGTCCTCTAATTTTACCAAAGTACTTGTGTAGGAGGCATTGGCGCAGAAATCTTGGGAGGCTATTTCTTGTGAAACAGGCTATATTTACCAGCTTCATTGAGCTCATGTTTTATTAGTTCTTTAAAGATGTAGCTTGGTGGTTTTTACAATATTAATCATGAACAGTTTGACCACATTTCTTTTCTTGATTATATTTCCACCAATACGGATGGAGCATTTAGCCTTAAAAATTGGGTATTCTTTTATCTGTGTGGAATTTTTCCAATACTTGGCCCATTCGATGGACAATTTCCAAGCTTAAACTTTGTACTCTGGGTTGATGGATTTGTGGCAACTCCTGTTGTCGATTTTCCTGGGACATCATATGTTATTGCCATCAACTAATTCCGTCTTCTGTTTCACTTCTTTACTTCACCATGCTCTACACAATTTTAGCCTTTTATTTAACTAAACACCCAGCCATTGGAAACTCCGTTGGATATGGACTGGAGGATGCATGGCAGGCATCCACCAATATGCATCAGCTAAACAGCTAGTTTTCTGCATTTAGGGTGATGGGTTTTAAGAGGCTGGATTTTTGTTAACTGATCTGGCAATTGGGATTCTCTTCTTGAGTCCTTTTGCATCTTTGTTATTATTAGTGATTTTCTTTATAAAATTGGGCAATAACGAGAAGATACAAATAAATAAAAATGAGGTTGATCTACAATGCATATATGATGATTAAATTTCGGTGCCCTGGTTAAATCACTTTTTGTGCATAAATGGTGATTATTTAGCTGCACAATATCCTATTTTAAACATTTTTGGAATGTTAATGGTTTCAGCATTACATTTCATTTGCTTGGATTGTCATCATTCTATTCCATGAATTGATGTTTAATCACATGTATTAGGACCTTAATACAGATTAAAAAAAAAAACATATGTGGGTAGGGCGATATGACAAAATCTTAAAAAGCAAGATAGGATACAGTGAGGATAGAGGAGTCATGTAACGTGTTCAATTCAGGGAGGGTTAAGGCTTGATCATAAGTGAGCTTGAGTTCAATATGGTTCGATTGGAAGTTTTATCATATGAGATCGTCTCAATACTTAACTCAGAGAGAGCAAGAAGATTTTCTTCTTTTTACAAAAGAACCCAACTATTTGGTGTTTTATAACAAAAGTTTTTCTTATCTATGCTATTGCCCCATTACAAGATTTCAAATTTCAAAAATTTCCCATCCTTATTGAAGAAGTATCCTACACGTATCTATTTACATATCAGAGCATATTCTAGATGTAACCAGACCTTAAAAATTAGTTTATCAGACTAAATCCAACACTCACCATTGCCAACATGTTTGATACAGTCACGGCAGCCTTAGGGGAGTATCCATGCATCACTGTAGCTTAGCACCACCATGTGTTGAATTTTCAGTTCCATCAACATATGCAAATTGGGTCCTCTACTCATTTGATAACTTGAAATTTCCCCCAATAGATATGAGAATATGTTAAGCAGTACATACTTTTGTACATTCACATTCATTTATATATATTTAATTAATTTATATGTCACATTCATTAATATAGGCGTTTCAGTGCTATCAATTCAATTTCTGTTCTGGAGTTGAATGCCATTTACCATGGCTACAGGATGAGACAGGTGTTTACAAGAACCTCCTACAGGAGATTGCACAGAGAGTTGGCGCCCCATTGCCCCAATACATGACTTTCAGATCAGGGCTTGGACACCAACCCATCTTCACAGGGATGGTAGAACTGGCTGGAATTACATTCACTGGGGAACATGCCAAGAACAAAAAACAAGCTGAGAAGAATGCAGCCATGGCAGCTTGGACATCTCTAAGACAATGTGAGTCCCTTTCTCCAATTTCTTTAGACACGTAATTTGTACGAGTTGATAATGTTCTTGGTCATTCCAAAATCCACCCTCTTTGATCATTGCAAGTCTATGTGGTATTAATTACTTCGTCCTTTTTTTTTTTGCATTTTCATTCATATTAAACCTTAAATGACTTTTTTTTTCCCTTCTTAATTCTGTTTTGTTTTTTTTTTCATTTTTTTTTTCAAATTATTTTTCTGGCCAGTGTCACAACAAGATGCAACTTCGTCATCTGAAACAGAGAACAATGATGAGCTAGAACAAATTAAAATTGCACGAGCATTATTGAACTTCCGTTTGAAGGAAAAGATGGGCATGACCTACTCCTTCGATACTCCAATACCATTTGAAAAGAAATTTCAAATTCAAAACCCAAGACCGTCAAGTCCACAGCCTCGCCCAATGACCACCTCTAAAATCCTTCCCTTAATTTGCCAAAAGTCAACCCCTCGAATTAGACCCACACCTATGACGACAAATGACAGTTCCTCACAGCTTCAATCACCATCACTGTTTACGGCACTCGAAGGCCGTGTAATCCGCCCTCAAAGGTTTCCTGCAGCAGGGGCCGCTCCTTATGTTCCCATCCGGCATTGCAGGACACCTTACCAGGGGATTGCTCCGCCAGTTACAGTAAGATCCGTGGTGCCTGTTTTCTCTGCACCACCACTTCCACCACCTTCGGTGATGCCACCACAACCTGCACGAATTGCCCCTTCTGTCTGTATTAGGCAGGCTGTGCCAGTTTTTGCTGCTCCTCCTGTTCAAAAAGAACCGCCAATGGTTGTGGCTCTTGCTCCACCATCACCAGCTCAGGCAGATGAAACCAGGAACAAGAGTGGTGATGATCGCCTTCAAGGCCCTGAGGCAGTAAAGCTCTTGGAACAGCTCAAAATCTGATGATTGGTGGGGAAGGATTTAAATCTGTTAGAACCAATATATGTATGGTTTTGTTTTGATTGTGTTTGTTTTGTCATCATTTTCTTACCTGTTTGTATTAGCGAGTGTTCTTTCATCCCTTTGTTTATTAACATATCCTAGTTTTGTCTTCCTTTCTTTTCTTTTCTTTTTCCTGAAGCTACCGTCATTGCAGGTTAATTTAGTACCTAGCAATATGAATCTTTGAAGTTCTCGAGTAGATATTACCATTCTACTCCAATTGATGATAGCTTATTCTGACTGGGTACAATTCCTAATATAACTTTCCAGGGTGTGATGTTGGATTGGGGTGATGAACCCGGTCGTACCATTGTATCCTGAATATTGTTTTTTTAACCTTTGATCTGCCACACAAGACAAGGTTACTTGAACCCTAAGGGACCAGTTGGGTTGTTTGATCTGATCCGATCCTTCTACTCCCATGCTCCCTTGGGTTATAGAATATTAAGAATATCTGATGTTCAAAGAAACAAAAAACCCCATCAACTATGGGGACTAATGGTACTGTGTCATGGCTGTGTGTATGTGTGTATTTATTACTTTTGGATTTTGATATTAGATTCATGTGTTGTGTACCCATTGACCATCTTATTGTTCACTTCCAACAAAAACACAGATTGTGTTTTATTTGTTATTCACTTCTATGGAATTTCTTGGAGATCTCAGAGCTTAGGTCATGTATGCCTTGAGAAACTTCAATAAATTTGTGTGGAACAGCTCTTCCATAATTAAGGATTCGCTTGGTAGTCAATACGTTTTTTCAGACGCAGTTTGTTTTTTAGACATGATATGTGAATTTGAGTCTCAATGATGCATGTTGCATCTTCTCCTTCATCATTTTATCATTCAAACCGTGCCTGGCCTTTCCTACAAGGCAACATATCACAATCAAGTGGGTGAGCTTTTTTTTTTTTTTTTTTTTTTGAGGACGAAGAATCTAGTATTTATAGCACTTGTCAATGGAAAAGACAAATGGATTGCATCTTGGTAACAAAATCTTCATTGGAGTGATTTGGAAAGTTGGTAAAAAGTTGACTTTTTGATTTTTTGATTTTTTTGACAAAAAGTTAGGTTCTTTTGGATAAAAAAAAATGACTTTATTACCTAAAAAAGTTAAAAAGTCAAAAAATTGATTTTTTTAGCTTCTTGTTAAAATGCTCCATTGTTTGATACAATTTTTATAGGTTGAAAACTATAATTAAAAATATATATATGTATATATATTTATATATTTAATAAATTAGGAAAATAAGAGATGGGTTCTACTAATTGTTTTGTTTTACTGTTTTTTTTTTTTTTTAATGATGTTTTGATGTTAAGTACTATTTGGATGAGCAAGTAATTAAAGTGGGTCATGGGTAAATTGTATTTTTTTTTTGTGTGTGTGTGTGTAGAATGTTGATGTAGGAAGATGGGTTTTGCAAAGGAAGAATTGCAGATTGTTTGGAAGAAATTGAGGACTGCATTTTCATCTGTTCAATCATCTTTGGTCTCTCAGGAAGAAAGAGAGGGAGAAGGGGAGGAACCCAGTAATGGAGATTTTTCTCTTGAATATATATATATATATATATTTTTTTTTTTCTCCTTGTCTTTTGCAGAAGGACCCACAATGCAAAAGCGATGGTCCCAACTCTGGTGTAGTGTGGTGGTACGATCTTATTTAATTTTTTTTGTTTTTAACTCTGAGTTAATGTTGTACTTGGCCACATTAATAGTCATTTAAATTATGTATGTCCTATGAGTCCCATATTTTTGGCCTATTAACGTACAGACATAACAAGTCGGCAGGCAAACAGGAAGCATAAGATTTACCGGACTGTATTCAATTGGCTAGGGCTAAAACTTGCAGTTAAAAAAAAAATTTAGTGGCACAAAAAAAAAAAAAGAAACAAAGAAATTTTTTTAATCATATATATATTTATGTGATCAAACCATATAAGATGTAGGAATAAGTATGCTTTTTATACAGACATCAATTATTATTTTTTAAATATAAGTGGCTATTTTTGATCAATTTGGAAAGGGTAAGTTAAGTTTAGTGATGCTAAAAATCATAAGCATTATCAGGAGCGACTTCAGGATTTTGTCCAATTAATTAGAATCATGCATGAATTTTAAATCTTAATTGATGATCAAAAGAATTTTTTTTTTTTAAAAAGAGAAGAAATTTGAATTTTATTGATAAGTTATAAATTTTATTTACAGATAGTGAAAGTTTTTCATGTTTGAAAAGAAAAATAAAATTTAGAGCAAACTTCATATACCCATGTGATATGAGTAATGTGCAGTTTACTCCCTTAATATTTGAAAATGACCACATAACCCCCACATGATTTGTAAATTGAAGTGCAAAGTTAAACATTTTATCCAACTGAATAATAAGTATGAAACACGTGACAGACATAAGAGGGTTACATGCTCATTTTCAAATTTCAAGAGGATAAATCATATATGGAATAAAGTACAGGAGGTTAAAGTGCAGTTTACCTTCCAAACAAATGACAAATATATAGGGATATTTTAATTTTTTTTATTAAATCGTTAACGGGCCTAACCATTCACTTCAGTCCACAAATTATAAAAAAATTATATAGTTATTTTCAAAAGTTAAGAGGATAAACTACATATAACCCAAAATATAAGGGGGTTAAAATTTATCCCACCTGATTAAATTTATCATTTTTTACATCTCTTATGTTGACAAATATCATGTGTAATATAAAACTCGCTATATTTAAAATAAATTAAAATAATAAAAAAAGTTTAGATCCCCAAACAGTATGAGACAGATGAGAGATCATCTCCAGATCAAATAGAGGGAGATAACACATTAATACCTCTGAATAATTTAAACCGTCATGTGATAAGCAAATTGAATATAAAAATTTGGTCTCGAAAAAAAAAAGACAATGATTATAAACCATTTAAAATAAAATAAAAGAAAAAGAAGACAAAATGATTATAAACCATTTTATTTCATGTTATTACATTAACAACCTTGAAAACTTTGGGAGGAAATCTCACACCTACTTATTAATGGTATGTTTCGCAGCAAACAACATGTTGCGTGTACATAATTACACACTTCTTCAAAAGTTATTTCTTTAAAAATCACTTTTGTGATAAGAGGTAGATTTTGTGTTCCATAATTCCTTGTACACTACAAGAATTAACACTTTTGGCAACAAAAAAATTGGTCGCTAAAAGCTCATTTTTAGTCAGCAAAAGTTATCCGCGACTAATATTTTCGGTCGCTACTTTGGTCGGCAATTGAGGGTCGGCAAAAGTAATTCGCGACCAAAATTTTGGTTGGTCGGGAAAAGTTGGATTTGCCGACTAAATTTTTGGTTGCTAAGTATATCATTACTGCAACTAATCCATTTTGTCGCTAAAACATTTTTGGTCGCGAAAAGTCACCTTTTGCCGACCAAATATCTTAGTCGCCAATTGTCACATTCCACGACCAACCTCTTTTTGATCGCCAATTGTGACATTCTGCGACCTCTTAGTTTGGTTGCCAATTGTGATATTTCACGACCAAAATTTTTGGTCGCCAATTGTAACATTCTGCTACCAAAATTTTTGGTCGCCAATTGTCACATTCTACAACCAAACATGTTTGTCGTCAAAAGAAATGTTTGCGCAACTAAAACTTTAGTCGGCAATAGACCTATTCGCGACCAAATCCTTTGGTTGCCAAAATTAATAATTTTAACGACTAATTATTTAGTCGCCAAATGTGCTTTGTGATATGCCAACTACTTTATTTAGTCGGCAAAAATATAACTTATCTTTCCTGACTAATCAATTGGTCGCCAAAACTATAAAAACAAAACCAAATTTTGGTCGCCAACATCCAACAAAATAAACTTGTAATTTATAATAATCCAACCAATTTATTCAATATAATCTGTAATTTGCAAAAATCATTCAAACCAACAAAGAAATTGAATCATCAACATTCAACAAAATACATATATCAACCATTTCTGAATCTGTTTAATGAAAGTCAGCAACTATTATAAGTTTACATCCACAAATAATTCCAAACTACATATTTCATCTAGCATAAAAATTTAAAACATAACAAGTACTTGTTATTATGTTTTAAATTTTTATCCATGTACATCAACCCAAAAATATAACTAGTTGTCTACCAAACATTTTCTATACACACCCATTCAAAAATATAACTAGTAATGTATCCAAAAATATAACTACTAGTCTGCCCTACGTAGCTCGAAAAACTTAGCTGAAAACCCACCCGGACAAACACTTCACCAAATCAAAGTCACCTAAGCAATTCCTATCACCAATAACTTCCATTAAATTATAAATTGATCTCAAAAGACTTGAAAAAATTACAAAAAAGTAGAAATAGTAAATAAAAATTATATTTTCATATAAACTTAGAATTGGTAATTATATGCGTTTAATTACAACACTTAGAGCTGAAATAAAAGATAGTCTAATTTATATTTATGAATTAGAAAGTCAGTTCAATAGATTAAATTCTCTTTTGGTTATTGCCTAAGGACAATCTATAATAAATTATAGCCAAAGAATTACTAGTATTAAAAATAAAATATCCTTAGAAAAAATCAGTGTAAAATATCAACGAAAGATTTTATAAGAGTTAGTATTAAATTAGATCCGCAAATCCGCAATTGAATTGATATCAGAGCCCGGTTTCCCGACCTTGCCAATAAACTCTTGCATAAGTATTAAATATAGCAAGGAAGTAGAATTTGATAACTTAAATAATAATACTTCTTTACAAATAATAATAGAACAAAATAATACCTTAATTAGACTATCACAAGAAATTAACGAAAAACTTAGAACTAATCAATTAGAAATAATAAACGAAATTAGACATTTTGTACAAGATCTAAAAAAACAAGCAGCCATTTTTGAAAAATAACAAAAAGAATTAGATCTATATCCCTATCCATATAGAGGAAATAATCCGGAGGAACCTTTTAAATTAATTTTACCTGCAAAATAAAAAAAATAATGGAGTTAAGTAACTATAGCTTAAGTCAATTAGAAGAAATGGTTGAAAAAGAAAATGATAATAAAATAAAATACAAGATAATATTACAAATAGCTGAACAATTAAATATGGTAGACGAAAAAATAAAGAGTGAGATAATAGAATTAGAAGAAGATATCCATAAACAAGTAGGACTAATCAGTTTGGGAGAAATGGAACACATTTCCCTTGAAGAA